TGGGATTGGCTGAGGGCCGTTGGGATCGGGGGGGCCCCGGCTGGGCCCGAGGCCACGGGGAGGGGCTGGGGGGGGCGGGGGGAGAGAAAAGGGGGGAGAGAAAAGGGGCTGGGGGGGAAGGGGGACTCGGGCTCCGTGGGCAGGAGGAGATTTCTGTCCTGGCACTTTTGGTCCCAGAGGGATCTTCGTTCGCCTTGGATTTTGGGAGTCGCACGGCCCCGTTTGAGCACCCCCGGGGACCCCCAGGGACTGTCCAGAGACCCCCGGAGTTGTGACCAGTGACACCAGTGAGACCAGTGACACCAGTGACAGGGAACAGTAACAGGGACCAGTGAGACCAGTGACACCAGTGACACCAGTGACAGGGACCAGTGACACCAGTGACACCAGTGGCAGGGACCAGTGCCACCACTGCCACCAGTGCCACCAGGGACAGGGACCAGTACCATCAGTCCCTCCAGCACCTTCCAGTTTCTCCCAGTCTCTCCCAGTGCCCTCCCAGTGCCTTTCCAGGACCCCCCAACCCCTCCCTCCTCAAAATTTTTGGGGTCTGGGAGTACCTCAACCTCTCTTTGCAGGATTTCTTGGGGCTGGGAGACCCCAAACTCCCTTTTCCTGGGTTATTGGGAGGATGACACTGCCCAAATCCCCCTGTGCTCAGGATTTTGAGGGTCTGGGTGTGTCCCAAAGCCCCATGTTCCCGGGATTTCTGTAGTCTGGGAGTGTCCAAGCCCCTCTTTTCCGATATTTTGGGCTCTGGGAGTGCCCAAACCCCTTTGTCCCTGGGATTTTTAGGGTCTAGGAGAGCCCATACCACCATGTTCCCAAGATTTTTGACATCTGAATGTTCCCAACTTCCCTGTTCCTGGTTTTTCAAGAAACTGATGGTGCCCAAACTTCCCCTTTTCAAGATTTGAGGAGCTGGAAGTGCCCAAACCCCCCTGTTCCCAGGATATTGTGGGTCTGGGAGTGTCCAATCCCCTGTTTTCCATTATTTTGGGCTCTGCATGTGCCAAAATCCCCCCATTCCAAGGATTTTTGTGCTCTGGATGTGCCCAAACCCTCCTGTTCCCAGGATTTTGTGGGTCTGGGAGCGTCCAAGCCCCTCTTTTCTAATATTTTGGGAGCTGGGAGTGCCCCAACACCCCTGTTCGTTTGTCTTGGAAGCCTGACCTTTGTCCAAACCCTGTTTTTCCCAGAAATTAGAGGGTCTGAGAGTACCCAAACCCTCCTGTTCCCCGGATTTTTGGAGCCCCCCCATCACTGCCCTCCAACCACCAGGACTGCAGAGCACTGAGAAGCTTTACTGGGAACACTGGGAACAGCTGGTTAGTGTGGGAAGAAATGCAGGGAAGGGAGGGACAGGCGACCCCCCCAAATGAGCGCAGGGTTTGGGGGATCCAGGGTGGTCCCGAGGCCACGGGGAGGGGCTGCGGCCGCCGGCGGCTCAGGAGCTCTGTGGGGAGAGAAAAGGGGGTGAGAGCGGGGTGGGGGGACAGGGGGGGCCACAGAGGCTGTGGGAGAGCAAGGTGGGGACACGACCCCCATTTGGGAACCCCCCTTTACCTTCTCCCGCAGGTAGAAGCCGAGCCCCAGCACCAGGAAGACCAAGCCCAAGACGAAGCCCCCGACCCCCACCAAGATCTTGCTGCGGACGGTGTCCGGTGGCATCTCTGGGGGGAGCCGGGGGGGTCAGCACCCCCAAAACCTCCCAGAGACTCTCCCAGGCCACCCAGCACCCCCTCAAACCTCCTGCCAGTCCCTTCCCAGCCCCTGCAGGGATCCCACCAAGCCCCTCCCAGCCCCATTAGGACCCTCCAACCTCTCTCACCTCACCTCCAGGACCCACCAAACTCCCTCCCAGTTGCCCCCAGTTGCCCCCTTTCCCCCCCGGCCCCCCGCCAGTGTGCCCCCGGTGCTGGGGGGGCCGGGCCGTACCCCAGTGCCGGCTGAGGGGGTGCTCCAGGCTGACGTGCTCCACCTGGCAGCTGTAGGTGACCCCGTGCTGGGGGGGGATTTCCAGCAGCACCAGCACCTGGTAGCTCCAGTCCCCGGTGGGGACCACGTCGGTGGCCACCACGTGCTCCGGCAGCTCCTGCCCATCCTGGAACCACCTCACCTGCACCGGCGCAGGGTAGAAATCCATCCCGGAGCAGAGCAGGCGGCCGGGGCCGGGTTGGGAGCTCGACGGCACCAGCGAGATGAACACGCTGGGGGGCACTGGGAGGGACGGGGGAGACACTGAGATGTGATGGGGGGCAGTGGGAGTGAGAGCAGAGGGCTTGGAGGACATTGGTAGGGATTGGGATGGCACTGGGAGGGACTGGGATGGCAGTGGGAGAGACTGGGAATAGACTGGGGGAGAAGGGGAGGGGCTGGGGGGGCACTGGGGAGAGAGTTGGGAGATGTGGGAGTGAAGTGAGAACGACTGGGAATGGACTGAGAGGGTCTGGGAGTGGAGTGAGAGGGACTGGGAATGACTGGTGTGGACTGGGAAGGAAGCGATCCGGACTGGGAGGCTGAGTGGTGGTGAGGGAACTCTTTGGTTTGGGTCTGCCTGGCAACTGGAGCGTCATCAGAGAGACGCGCTGGGATTGGCTGAGGGGCGTGAGCTCGGTGGCCCCAGCGGGGTGGAGACGCGGGGGGCACTGGGAGAGACTGGGATGGACTGGGATGGAGTAAGAAAAACTGGAGTGGACTGGGAGAGACCAGGGGGCATTGGAGGGACTGGGAGGGGTTGGGACCGCCTGGGGGAACTGAGAGAGACTGGGATGGACTGGGAAGAAATGGGAGGGGGCAAAAGGCCAGGGGGATTGGCAAAGGGAGGTCTGAGGGATCTGGGGTGATTCCCAGGGAGGATTTGAGGGGCTCCAGGGTCATTCCCGGGGCAGGGCCAGAGGGGACCCGCTCTGCCCCACGCTCACCTCTCCTCTCCACGGTGAACGGGGTGACGATCCTGTAGTTGTGCCGGCAGTGCGTGTCCACTGCTGCCCGAAAGTACTCCAGCATTTCTGGGTCGCTGTTCCAATGCCTGGCCTGGATCTCCCCAAACGGGGTGTCCCCCACAAAGACCCCCACATCGCTGTCGAAGTGCACGTACTGCTGCCGGTTGTAGATGAGCCTCTCCACGTACCTGATTCGCTCGGTGCCATTGATGAAGTGACACTCGTCCTTTGCTATCTTCTGGAACACCCCTGTGTGTGCAGGACACGGGTCAGGGGGTGCCCCGTCCCTCCCTCATCACCCCCCAGCCCCCCACAGCAGGTTGAGAGCTCAGGGGGCCACCCCGGACCCCCCTTTCCCACCCCCCTCTGCTCCACGGCCGCCCCAGCACCGGCTCTTGGCTGGGGGGGAACCCCCCCATCAGCCCCCCGGGGATGGACAGGGGGGTTGGGGACCCCCGCAATGCGGATCCGAGCCCCAGAGTCCCAGGGAACCGCTCCAGGGCTCAGGGAAACCCAGAGACCCCCATGGCACCCCTCTGCCTGCTCTCCCACACCCTCTTGCCCCCTCTCCCACCCCTTTCCCCCCCTCCCCACAATCCCCAGACCCCCCGCACTCACTTTGGGGCTCCCACCCCTCCCATTCAGTGCGAGCCTTCCAACCCCCGCACCGCACTCACTTTTGGGGCTCCCGCCCCCTCTTTTCTCCCCTCTTTCCCCCCCTTTCCCACCCCACCCCCCTGCCCGCCCCCCCCCGCTCACTCGACAGCTCCTCGCCCGCAGCCGGGGGGGCTCCCAGCAGCACCAGGA